ATCCGTTTCATCCTCATGCGCACATCATTTCTACTTATGTACTTTGGCCCCCTACCAACTGGTGCCACAGCTTCTGCTCCCATATAATATGTATTTTATAGTTTTGCTAAAGAAAAAAAATATATACAAGTTGTAAGAGCATTATGCTTAAAGTTTCAATGTGTATTTCAATTACACTTTGGCACAAAGTGCAGCAAAGACGGGAGCCAACGACCCAACAAAAAGCATTGTGCCAACAAAATAATAAAACCAGCTACAAAACAGTTCTTCTCTTGAGGTGATGAAGATGAAATACTCTTGCAGTAATGACACACATAATGACACATCATTGAAGAATTGTTAATTGTAAGCCAAAGCGAAAAACTTTCTGCAAAACACAGCTTACATTTTTCATATTTTACTACATTTCCCTTGCTGATCAACAACTAATAATGAAATACTATTTTATAGGTCATCGGTCTGTAAACACACAGCAGGAGAAGCTGTATAGAGATGGAATGCCAATTTAAACGTTTTGTTCCACTGCCAAGCTGTGGGCGATGGCTGCTAATTGCAGTCTAGCTAAATGTTTATCAATCCACTCATACGCCCCGTTGTACGCAGTTGCCAAGTAACCCTTGCCTAATAAACCAGAAGCCAAAACATAAATTGTTGACATCTGGAGAACAGTTACACAACTGCTGTTGCTGACAACATAGACGAGTCGAGAGAGAGGGAGAGGAAGAGGAAGACAGAGAAACACACAGAGAAAATGGAAAGCTAAAACTAAGAATGAGAATAAATATATTAAAAACTAATCTGCATCGAACAGTTGCTTATTATATTTGTAGCAGTCTTCAACTAATTGTGAACAATAAGAAACACTTTTGACCTTAAGATAAATTCCACAAAATAAAAGTGTCTTTTATTATTGCAAAAATAAACAATAATCTAAAATTTGCAATTTTACTTTTAACTTTTTTCCAGATCAACATTCGATCTCAACATGTATCTGCCAAGAAAAGTAGCAAAAAATATTTGGAGTCGTATTCAGCAACCACAATTGGCTGTCATCATTATCAAAGTGTCGGCCTGTCACTGTTACTGTTACTGTTACTGTCTTAATGCTGGCCCCTGTCAATGTCCTTTGCCTTGTCTTTTGCCCTTAGTTGTATTGTTGTTGTTGTTGTTTTGGTTTTTCTAGCTCTGGCGCCAAGTGCGACTTTTATTTATGGCTCCAGACTGTGGACATGGCGACAATGCTGCACGTGTTAAACCCTTTAAGGTTTTCCTTTTTGCCGTTTTTTGCAGCTTATCTCTCTCAAGACAACGGGAGCTGCTCCTTGACTTGAGGACGGCCCGGCATGTCAACAGGCGGCCACAACAGCCAGCAATCTTGGCAGGAGTACTTGCTTCCGCCACAACGTGCTTCTCAGCTCTCAGCTGTGTGCTGCTTGTTTTTATCTTTTAATGGAATTTTTAAATCAAATAATTGGTTTTGTTAAATTTTTTAGTTTGTCGCTTGTCCGCTTGGCGACAATGAAGGATGCTGCAGGTAAACACAGGACAATGTGCAGGACACAGTCAGTTTAACTTATCGCTCGCTTTTGCCAATCGTGTTTATTGCACTGAAAAGGATACGTGATGTCCTTGTTGCCACTAGTTCTTCTCCGATTACATGGCATACGGTGTGTTAAGCCATTTGATAACTATTCTACCTGCAGCTGTGAATCGTTTAGAATTTAATCGATTCTTGCAATGTGATATTTGACACCAAAAAAAGATAACTTTTTTGTGCAATTAAGATTAATTTTATTTAATTTTTTCCCGTTTTTAAGAGATATGATTTTGTATATATATTCAAACTATTGAAATACCATCGCCTTGTTTAGATTGTACAATAAATTACATGTGTTCAAGCCAGATATCATAAGGTTAATATTTATGAATTAACTTCTCAGTTGAGTTAGTCACCTCCGGAGCAGCTGCAGTCGTGACTGTTGCCACACTGCTGCGGGTTTCCCCTACGTCATGCTTGACAGCTTCTGTTCCAGCTGTAGTTGCTTCGCCTGCCTGAGTTGCATCGGTAGGCTTTACTTCCTTGGTTACCTTGGCATCGGTGGCAGCCACTGTGGGAGTCGCCGTTGTGCTAGTTGTGGCTTTTGGAGTTGTGACAGTTGTGACCGATTTTGAGCGAACTGTACCTGAATCGATGTTCACGTACACAATATCCCCATTTTTACCGCCTGCCCCATGGCGGGCATGATCAGCAGTTGCAATAACGGCAGCGATCACGGTGAAATAGGCAAACAAGCAAATCGAATTCATATTGCTGGAAGTGGCTAAGTTTCTCTTCACAATGTTTCTTGTTGCTGTCGCGTGTTAAACTAAACTGACTAATGAAGCCCAGGCTTTATATACCAGTCATTTTTGTATTTGTTTTTACTTTTTCAGCTGTTTCATTTATTCAACTAGTCATTAGAGCGATACAGTTACGCTTAACTAATTAATAATTAAATTTGTTTGCTATTCGCAGAAGTTCTTTAAACGGAAAAGTTTAAAAAGGAATTCAATCTAAAAAACAATAAAAAAAGTATATTGTCAAATGACAACACATATTTTCTTAATGAATAAAAACTATTGGATATTATTAAAAACAGTACAACTATCTTGAATATTCAAAAAATATAATCATGCATCATGAATATAAATACATAACTTTAACTTATAGAAATCTGGAGTTGTATATTTGAAAATAAACAACAATTTTAATATCATTAAGGCAAGTTTTAGAAAACTAAATCGTTTTTCCAAGGATGAGTTGCAGTTGTATAATTTTAGCATATATATGCTAAATATTGCACTTAAAAATCTTTCTTGCCCCGAGCACTTTACCCGCGATATATATGCAAACACACACAAAAACACACACACACAAACACACACACACAAATACACACACAAATACACACACACACGCAAACATGTCACATTCCTGAGCAAGAAACTTGACCTGTATTTGCCACAACTAAAAAAAAACAGTTGCAACTGCGTCAACAATATTTGCATTTCTCTAGGTAAATGGAACACAAAGCGCCTTGCGAACAACATGTGCATTTATATACATAAATCAGAAATGTATATATGTTCTATATAGTATACACTATGCGTACTCATATTTATATAGGCGGAAAGAAAAAGAAAGCAATTTGAATGGAAAACGAGGCGAGCAAACAGTTTGCCCCACGGCTTTCAAGCGTTGAAAGCGACTTACGCAAATGAATGGGGTGTGTGAGAAAGGGGGGGGTGTGTACGGGGTAGGTAAAGAGTTTGTGGATCGACACAGTTACAAAACAAATGTATGCAACAACAAATGGCATCCAAAAGTCGTCCAAGACCACGCAAATAGACAGAGAGACAGAGAGAGAGAGAGAGAGAGAGAGAAGAACGCAAGTCCAAAGTCCCTTTAAGAGTTGCTACTTCAGTAACAAGTGCGTCAATATGGAACAGCTTAGGGTGCCACTGTGTATGTGTGTGCATCTGTGTGTGTGTGTGTGTGTGTGTGTGAGAGAGAGAGAGTGTTTGACAATGTCATTCGTGCGTGGCAGCAGCAAAATCTTTTACGACACACCCCCCACCAACACTCAGCCCCTTTGCAAGCAGCGCTATATTTGCCAATTCACGTTATAAACTTGTTTTCAATTTCAAATTCAAATGCTGCCCCTGGAAGTTTGCGCCTGGATATATAGGACACACACACACACACACACAACTCTTGGCAACATTTGTAACCAAGCCACATGCACTTGAGAGAGAAGAAGAAGCAGCAGCAGCAAATGCTTTACAAAAGTCACTGCAAAACTTTGTATATGTTGTGCATGAAATTTCTTAAGTCACTCCCAGCGATAGAGCAGGACAACCACCCATACATATCACTAAACCACCCCTCTAATCCCCTTCCATTGCTTTTATAGCATAATGCTTGGACGTGTTCTGGTAAATTGCTTCACTTTTGCCACATTTTGATCGTTTCATTTTGCCTGTGCGTGTGTCGCTGGCTCTTTCACTACATTCTATTTTATTTTTTCTTATTGTTTTCTCCTCTTTTCGAAAGTCGCATTTTCATGCGTAAAACTTTTGCCAAATGGAAAAAGTTTTATAATAACCAGGCACATAGTTATTAGAGGCGACAGACCAAATCTTAAGACCTTTCTCCGTCTCTCTCCTCCTTCCTCTATATCAATCTCTCTCTCTCTGTCTCTCTCTCTCTATCTCTCTCTAGCTTGGCCACTCATAATTTGTAAGAATTAGTTGGTTGGTAGATAAACGCTTTTGGTATCTGATTTTATTTCCCTATTTTTTAACAATCTATTTTACGCCAAGTTTGAAAATCTGTGTGTGTGTGTGTGTGTGAGTGTGTGTGTGTGCGTGTCTGTGGCCACAGTTGTATGTGGATTCTTTAGTATGCTAGAAACTTTCATTTCTAGATCAACTTTCTTACAAAACAAAACGATTTGAACTTAGTTTTCCAGTTCAAAAGTTGTACAAAGTAAAATGTTGAAAACCAAATTTATACATTTTTATACGCCAAATTTGTGTTATGTGCATAATACAGTTGAAACAGAATACGTATTTCTCACAAAAATAAATAAATAAATAATAAAAAAGTAGATTATATACAAAACGTGAATATCTAAATAAAAGATTGAGTATTGTGCGTAATGTGTAAATAAAAATGATTTATTTTTGATTGTTTGTTAACCTTCTTGTATCAATTAAGTATTTGTCTTTTTCAATATATATATTTATATTAAAATATCGATTAAAACTGCTGGTATTATATAAGATTATTAAAGTTAACTAAGCTTAATATTTTTGTTCAACAACTTTGGTGCATAACAAATTTGAAAGCAATAATTTACAATGCAAAAGTCTTACTATTAAAACAACTTTTCCAGTTGAATTTGCCATCATCTCTGCTGGGAATATTAAATATTATGAAGTAATATTTAATTTATTACCTGCATATTTGAATTGAAAACTTGATTCAGCTGCGCTCCATTCGATTGCAAAAATGTTTTGCTTAACCGACCATATGCGATGCTCAACGGCCAAAGCCAAATGCTGGTCAAATAAAGAAGCCAATTTTACGAGCTGCAAAGAAATGAAATGAATTTAAGGTGAATTTCTTTCTGGCCAAACTTAACTGAAGCATATCAACCAGCAGATGAATTGAGTGTAAGTAATGCTAAAGACTTATGCAATCACAAGCCTTCAAATGCTAGCTTATTTTGAGTGCGTGTGTGTGCTTGAGTGAAAGATACTCAACATAAATTAAATTTCTTTCAGGTACGTCTTACAGGAAAAAACCTTGTAGTTAAAGTGAATTTAAGCTGTGCTGTCGCCGACTAAATTGTTCCAAAGCCACGCCCACACCAGCTCCCACAGCATGTGGTTACTTAGCCAGGTCCTACGAGGCCCGCCCTCAGCCACATTTCATGACGCACAAAACACGAGCAATTTCAGCAACAATGTTCTCGTTCCTTTCGGCAGCTACAACATTCTTTAGCACACACACACACAGACACACACACACACACACACACACACAGACACACACACGTGTTCCTTGCTTAAGGACATAGCTTAAGAAGAGTTACGCATATTTTAAGCAGTCTCGTGTCTCTTTCAGCCATCCGTATTTGGTGCTCAAGAATTCTTTTTTTTAGTTTGTACACCTTTGAGATATTTTTCCCATATCCGCCAAATTCAACTAACCTATAATTGAGTTCATGCAGTGCACTTTCAATCCGTAGCAACAAAGCTTTTATTAAAATATTCCTGATTGGGACCTCTAACCATTTAGGTGTGGAATTTTGAATATTTCCGGTATTTGTATGGCGAAATGCCTTAGGCTAATAATGCTTTGGAGCGCCAACTAAGCGCTCGACCAAGGTATGAGCATAGATAGCATTGCTTTTGTGGGCAGATAGCATTTTTGGCATTGCGATTATTAGCTTAAAAGTTGGGCAGGTTGGGTTTAGTTAAAGCAAAATCAAGCAACGATTTACATTGAATTGAATTTAATGCGAGCTGTTCGATTTGAATATATATTTATATGTATTTATTTATTCTAAGGAGCATTTTAAGGAAATGGTTTTTTTAATTGACCTGTAAAACATATTAAAATAATAAATAATAAGATAGTAAGTAAATTGCCTGAATAAATGCACTTTTTTATTATTATTTTTTTATTTATGTAAAGCTAACTTATGATCTTAAACCTTAAGATAACTTAGATTATAGAGCAATAACAGCAAAGGCCTTAAGCTGAATGCGTGTTCGCTTATATTGAAGTAGTTGCTTCACTTTTTCAATTAAACCTTGCATATCTTGTATCTTGTCTCCAATCCACTTAAGTCATTTGTATTTCCAAATCCAAATCGTAAGCCAAAACCTAATTCCATTTGCCACAATATAACTTTGGTTGAGCTGCATCCAAATGCCTTCAATTATGCTTTCAGTGTGCAACTAAAATGGCAGTTGCCATGCCCCCTTTAACCTTTCAACGAAGCCAGCCACCCACACAACCCGTAGAATTAACCCCATCCTGATGGCAAGCGGCTTAGAACTTAATTTCCTGTTTACAGTCATAACCAGGTAGGTCGTTACGCCTTCCACACGCCATGCAGGCATGCAAAAAAAGCAAAGAAGAAAAGTCAACACAAAGTGTAGAAAGTCACTTAATTAAATGTTGCTTATACGAGTTGCACGACGTGCGACGCAATCAGACTTTTTTGCTCCCGCTTGTTGCGTTCACAAATCCTTTGAGCCGCTGTAGCTGTGTGCTTTGTAAATATGCTATTCCAGCTAGCTAGCTAGCTGGCACCTCAACAAAAGGGCCCAGACTTCCTGGCCACTGATGCTTCCTGCGACGTTCATGTCCTAGTCTCAGTCTCAGTCTGAGTCTTGGTCTTGGTCTTAGTCTGTGTCTTGGTTGTCGACTTCGCATTGCAATTTTCGTTGCACAAAATCCCCTAATTAGATGTAAATTACAAATTGCTTCAATGCCAAGTGGCAAGTAGCAAGTGGCAAGTGGCAAGTGGCAAGTAGCGTTGTCATTGCAGCAGACACGTCAGCATCGAGCAGCAGCTAAATTTGTAATTTTCATGCTTATTACAATATTTATGCGCGCTAAGCAGCTGAGAACATCCCCTGGCTTGACTCCTCCTCTCCTTTAGTGTCCTGCTGGCATTTGACTTGTTGGCGCTGCTTTCTTTCGCACTCAGTTTCGTTCGTCGAATTGTTTTCTTATCATTAGCACTGATGAAATGTAAGCCAGCGAGCAGCTCAAGCTGCAACAGCAACTGACGCCAAAGTTTCGTCCTTGCTGCGTAATGGCTGCCATTTCCGTTTTAGATGACACGACGCGACACGCGCCACCAAAGCCAAAGCCAACGCCAAGTGTCGACTTGGAGCATGACTGCCCAGCAGCATCCCCCCCCCCCCGTCGCCCTACTATTGCCTGTGTTGGCGTCTGGTTGTGTCGCCGGGCGTCTCCAGAGCTTAGGCGAATGCAAATCCTTCAGCTCAGTGCTTGAGCACTCTGCCAAAGTGAGACATTTGCATTAAATTTTCAGAAAACAAATGCAACGAAATTGACGGCAACTTTAAACCATTTCCAACTGGATTTGTTATGTTTTGTTTTGCTCTCCTTTTATTTCTATTTTCCAGCATTTGAATAAAATTTTAATAGCAAATGTCTTGCAGATTTTATTGTTAAATTAAATGAGCTGTTTAAAATTATTCCCTTTCATCTTGAGTTTGAGGTCAAATACCTAGTTTAACTAAAATATGTTTAATAATAATATATTTTTTCAGTACAACACTTAATTTATGCCAGCTGGAACAGTGTTAGAAAGATTTCAGATCAAAAAACCAATTTAGATAAATGACAATTCAATGCCAAAACCAATCAACAATTATTGTATTTGTTGTCTTTCTTTTAACTAAATAAAATTTGAAAATAACTAACTTAAAGAGTTAAAACCAACTGCAACTGAGGCGAACTTGTGGTGAAATTGGTAACAAAAACATCTGGCAGTCTTTGCAGGCTTAAAGCCATAAACCTAAAACAGCAACAGCCGTAAAAGCGAACAGCATAAATCAAAGTCGAAACTATTTTCATTTCGGGCAAATCGAATGCTGTGAGTAACTATTAAACCGCTGCCATTAAAAGGCGGTAGTAAAAGCTTTACTAAATGCAAGCTAGCTAAAAACCGAGCGAAGGTGCAGCTCAAAAAGTGCCAAAAACCCAAAAACAGAGTAAGACAGAGCTAAAGAGTCTCTCTTTCTCTCTCTCTCTCTCTCTCTCTCTCTAGCCAAAAAGTATAAGTCGCGAGTTTTGTGCCAGCCGCACACATAATAAAGTTAACGCTCAAAGGGGCGGAACACATTTGTGGGCATGACAGCGGGAGGAAGTGGCGGTGGCAACTCGTACCTAGACCAGAGCCAGACCGAGACCAGAGCCTGCGGTTTAGCAATTGCTGCAAAATTTGACAGTTTCCAAAAATTTTCGCAATTAGATGCGAAGTACGACAATTCCAAATGGCTGCCAGCTCTTTTTAGCGTAGCAAGTGTATTGAGTGTGTTGCTGTGTGTGTGTGTGTGTGTATATGTGTGTGTATGTTTGTGTGTATGTTTTGGTTAACTGATTGTCGCTGGCAACCAAACTCTTAACGTTGCCTCGTCAAGCCACTGATTCTGTTTCTGTTACTGTTTCAGTTTCAGTTTCAGTTCCATTTTCAGTCAGTTGTCAGCGCCTACAGATTTTTATTGCTTGCGACATTTACACAGCATTTGATGTTTATTGATGGCAGTATGTGTTTGAGTGTATGGGTGAGTGTGTTTTGTATGTGTGAGTGTGTGTGTGTGTTCGGTTAAGCGGTTGAGCAGCTAAAAGGCAGCCGGCTTCATTGACATGTTCACATTGTTTGCTGCTGCTGCTGCTGCTGCTGCTGCTGCTGTCACACGTGGCGTATGCGCAACGTGAATATGGCAATGTTAATGATTTGAACAGCAGCCAAATGGCCAAAATGAGTGGCTGGGGTTAGAGCGGGAAGTTGAAAGTTGGGTTTTAGTGCCGTCTAAATGAAATAGTTTAGAACGCGCCATAAATGATGCGGCTGCCTGGGTTTTCAACTTTGTTTGTGTGGGTCTGTGGGTGTGTGTGTGTGTGTGTGTGTGTGTGTGTGTGTGTGTTTATGGCCTATTAATATTCAATTGCGAATGAAAATGTGTGGGCTTCGATGTGTCCCAGGGGTGCACTTTGAATGTGCTGACTGCTGAAATGCAGTGAAAGTTTGAAGAAAGTTGTCAACGGCGAAGCGGGCTGGAAATAGGCTGAGTAAACTTTAATTTAAGCTTGAAGATGAAGGAGTTATATGTTTAACAGTGGAGTATAATTAGTGAATTTATATGGATTAATTGCCAATCTAATATGTCAGCAACCTTTAAAAGAAACTAATTCAACTAGCTCTAACGCTTAATATAGTTCTGGCTATTTTCTTTTAATCTCACAGACTTAGTCTCTATCTATCTCTGACTCGTTCTAACTTCCCCTGTCTCTCCTTCGCCATATTCCGCCTGTGAATTGTCAATTGCAAGGCTAAAACAATTGACCACTAAACGGCCAGGCTGAAATCTCTGGCACTGGAAGCTGGAAAAAGTCAAGCGGCTCTAAGCATTTGGTCGGCCAACCGAGAACTATAAAAGTGGAGTACTTGCAGCAACGCCCAAGCACTTGACTACAATTGCGACTATTAGACAAAAGCTGTAAGTGCCACAAAAACGACTTTCTGCACTGGCGGCTGCGTTGGGTGCTCCACAAATCGATGACACTGCCCATTGCCAAGGCCCATAACCGTAAAGGACGCGAACGAAGCCGCGAGACACGTGCCACGGCTCGATTATTGACTGGATGAGGGGTGTGCGATGTGGTTGAAGGGTGTCAGCAACAGAGCATTGGGCAGGCATCAAGTGTTGAAGCACACTTGCAGGCGCTAAAACTCAAACATAAACACTCGGCACGAGGCAAGAGGAGCGCCAGAAAATTGCGTTAAAAATTACGCAAAACTCTACCAAAAAAAAAAATA